GAAGTAAACAACAAGGCCAAAACTTCCAGTGAATTCATCTGATATAAAAGTGTGTTGAACAGATACATATGTACTCGAGTTTATCAAACCTTTTTTTCTGTTCCATTTTTGGTTCTAAAGTTCCATCTGTTTTAAACAGACCATGAATGAAACATGGAACAAAAATTATTTCCCAAATTTCAAAGACCCAAAAATCATGTAAATAATGTTTGTATTTCATCATATCTTGTGTTATTCCATCTTTGAACTGTTGATGAAGGGACAGGATTTAAAAGTAATTTGAAGTAATATTAAAGTTTTCAGAAGAAAAAAGCCACAAATGATGTAAAATCCTGCACCTTCTACTTGTTTGTACAATTTTCCCTCCGTTACTTTTCCCTCCGTTACCATGAACTTTATTAATAAAAAATCTCATGAGTCAAAAAGTCAGAGGTTTTCAACCTAATCTTGTACCATATGGTAGAAAACTATATGAAGCAAATATTCAAACCAGTTTGTTAAGGATATGGAAGTGAGAACCAAGAGTTATCACTGTTTGGATTTATTGAACCAAAAAGTGCTGCATATTTCATTCCCTCCGTTACCGACATGAGTTTTTAAATTTTTTTGTCTTGAACTTGAAAGAATCTCACAGGTTTAACTTGACCCTGTTGGAGTGTAACTCTTTCCTACATTCTGATACTTTACTTATTTCAATAGTTCCTCTAGTTTCTGAATAAGAGACATTTGAATGTCAAACATCTGACCCTGTTTCCCTCCGTTAACACTTGACCAGACCCAATGTAATGATATTTTCTATTAAAATGTTGTTAATTTTGTGTGGTGTTTATCACAGCAGCGTCTCCAGCGTCTCTGTACGTGGCCCCTCCCACCAGAGCAGCACAAATGAAGACTTGTCTCTTTCCAAACGTCTTAAAGGACGATGGTTTTGACTGTTGACCGTGACACCCTCATCAGAAAAATGTCCAACATGAGAAAAGTGGAGCCGAGTGCAGGATTTTACAACAAAAAATTACTTATTCTGTTTACAGACAAGTTCATGTTCAAACTTTGTGCTGAAATTGTATTTTTCTTAAAGTTTCAGGTTGTTCATAATATTATAATATGTTGTAAAAGAAAGAGTTCATCAATTAAAAAAGATTTGTGTAATAGGTTTGTGTTTCTCTGCACAAATATTTGAACTTCTTGTTATTTTTGGGGTTTATATGACATGAGTTTTCTGATCCGGACACTTTGGATCAAAGTCGGTTGGACACGACGCCGGAACAAGATGAGTTGAACACTGGTCTAGAGACATGTGCATGTGACGTGACGGTTTTGTCCTGATCCGCGTCCGGTGAGTCAGAACACAAACACAGCGTCTTTGTAAAGTTGGCACATTCTGGAGTCGTTCCTTTAACTTTGGCATTAAGACACACTGGGCCTGATCTTGTCCTCAGTCTCAGAACCAATCACAAGTGTTAAGGGGCGTGTCCAGGTGGAACGGTACAAGTCCAAATATGGTGACGACATCTGAACCAATCTGTGACTCTGTGGTTTTTAAATCACTGTCAGTGTGGGTAAAGTCTGTAAACTTTACCTCATTATCAGACGAGTGTGAGGAAAAGTTATAAATGTGACAATAAAACAGCTCCAGAGCCTCACGATGCAGGAACACACCAGCAGAGGCGCAAGGAAGATAGAGTTTAGTGTCGACCATGACAGAAGTGACCGACTGACAGAACATCAAACTTTTATAGTTTTATCTGTTTGTTTAAGACCAGAGTCTCTCAGACGCTCACATCCCACAGCAGATCCACGGCTTCATCACACCTGGTCCCGTCTGTCCCACAGTCCCACAGACTCACCTCAGGTCCACACACTCACCTCAGGTCCACAGACTCACCTCAGGTCCACAGACTCACCTGAGGTACGAGCGTCCACCTCAGGTCCCACAGACTCACCTGAGGTAGGAGCGTCCACCTCAGGTCCCGCTGACTCACCTGAGGTACGAGCGTCCACCTCAGGTCCCACAGACTCACCTGAGGTAGAAGCGTCCACCTCAGGTCCCGCTGACTCACCTGAGGTACGAGCGTCCACCTCAGGTCCCACAGACTCACCTACGAGCGTCCACCTCAGGTCCACGACTCACCTGGGTACGAGCGTCCACCTCAGGTCCCACAGACTCACCTGAGGTACGAGCGTCCACCTCAGGTCCCGCAGACTCACCTGAGGTACGAGCGTCCACCTCAGGTCCCGCAGACTCACCTGAGGTACGAGCGTCCACCTCAGGTCCCGCAGACTCACCTGAGGTACGAGCGTCCACCTCAGGTCCCGCAGACTCACCTGAGGTACGACAGGTCCAGACTCACCTGAGGTACGAGCGTCCACCTCAGGTCTCGGACTCACCTGAGGTACGAGCGTCCACCTCAGGTCTCGCTGACTCACCTGAGGTACGAGCGTCCACCTCAGGTCCCCCGGACTCACCTGAGGTACGAGCGTCCACCTCAGGTCTCGCTGACTCACCTGAGGTACGAGCGTCCACCTCAGGTCCCGCTGACTCACCTGAGGTACGAGCGTCCACCTCAGGTCCCGCTGACTCACCTGAGGTACGAGCGTCCACCTCAGGTCCCGCTGACTCACCTGAGGTACGAGCGTCCACCTCAGGTCCCGCTGACTCACCTGAGGTAGGAGCGTCCACCTCAGGTCCCGCTGACTCACCTGAGGTACGAGCGTCCACCTCAGGTCCCGCTGACCGCTCACATTCAGACTCTCAGGTCCAGTGCGTTCGGTCTCACACAGGTGAAGTTCTCGTGGATTATGAAACACGTTTATTGTCACATAAATGTTTCTGATGTTCATCTTTGCTCACAGATTTGATCCGTGCGTCTGTCACAGCCTCGAGGCGTCAGTGAATCAGTGAATCAGTGAATCAGTGAATCAGTGAATCAGTGAATCAGTGAATCAGTGAACGTTCAGACGTTCACGGCCTGAGATAAATGGACAGAGCAGCGTTAGGACACAGAGTCAGAACAGAGTTTAGGACGTCGCTGTAAACGTCCTCGTGTGGATGAGCAGATTTTGGACAGATCCAGATCAAACCAAACTGTAGATCAGAGCTGAGGTGGTAGAGGAGCAGGTGAGGGGCTGTGGGAGGGCATCTGGACCACTCCTGCACAACACACAAACATGTTCTGGATGTTAAACATGTATCAAATAAATATATTTCCAAATAAAAAGAAGTCTTAATGTTACATGTTGTTTTTTCACTGAACTCGTTTAATATTTATTTTTATGATTCTGGCAAATCACGAACGAACACTGTGTTGTTTTGTGTCAAAAATCCCTCCTCACTTCACAGGTTTTATTTATCGAACAGAAGGAACATCGATCGATCGAGATGCTGGACTTTTGCACCGCATACGGACTGAACCAGGACTGAACCAGGACTGAACCGGACTGAACCAGACTGACTGGACTGACCTGACTGAACCTGGACTGAACCTGGACTGAAACTGAACCTGGACTGAACCTGGACTGAACCTGACTGAACCTGGACTGAACCTGGACTGAACCGGACTGAACCGGGACTGAACCTGGACTGAACCTGGACTGAACCTGGACTGAACCTGGACTGAACCGGGACTGAACCTGGACTGAACCTGGACTGAACCGGGACTCACCTCGGCCTTGAGAGACAGAGGAAGAACCCTGGAGCAGTTCAGTTCAAACCTGTTCCTCCACAGTGATTCTGAGAAACGAGCGACCTGATCGTGGGCGACACATTCCTCCAGACGACGAACAGGTTTGAAACACAACGACAACACACACGACGTACAGAGCTCAGAGTACAGAAGGAACAAGCAGCCAGAGCAGAGTCAGAAGAGTCAGAAGAGCCGACAGGAGCCGACAGGAGCCGACAGGAGCCGACAGGAGCCGACAGGAGCAGGAGGATGAAGACGTCTGTGAAGCTCTTGACTCTGGTGGTTCTGTTCGTCTGCGTCCACTCAGGTATTTATGTGATTTAAATTTGGATTTAGACACGTTTGATCCTCTCAGGCTCAAATAAAGTTTTATTAACAGGAAAAATCTGATATTTGGGGATAATGATCATATGGGGCAGTAATCGTGCGACCAAATGTCCGTTTTTCCCTGGACATGTCTGTATTTTGCGTCATGTCCGGGTTTTTTTTTTTTTTATAAAGTGATGCAAACGTCCGGGTTTTCAGTATCGTTCATTAAACTGAGCGTCTCTCGTCTGTGACTCAGAAGGAGCGAGACACAAACAGTGGGTCTGAAACATACAGAAGCACAAATGAACATTTAACAACAACTTGGACAAGAAATTCTCCATTTTCCGTTGGGACGAGTGTGAGTCCATGTGCACAGGCTGAGGTGAGAGGACAGTGTCCCTCGTTTATCGTGGGAGTTATGTTCTAAAAATAACCCACGAAGTATCAACTTTATATTTTACAATTATTCTATCTGTTTTAAGTCTGTAAAACCTCAGCACAAACTTTATACACTTTTCTCCGACAGGATCGACAGGTGCAACACTTTTTACTTCCTTCTTCAAACTTGTTGCTGCTGTCGTCCTTTTGTTATTTTCCTCCTTCTTTATGTAACAAACTAAGATTCATTTATTCCATAATAGAGCCGACAGAGCAGAGTCCAGTACAGGACCGCACCTGCCAGGACAGGACCGCACCTGCCAGGACAGGACCGCACCTGCCCGTTAAGATTATATCAAACTTACGCCGCTGCCTACGCCACGGACTGAACCAAGACTAAACCAGGACTAAAACAGAACTAAACCAGGACTAAAACAGAACTAAACCAGGACTAAAAAGATTAAACAGGACTGACACAGGACTCAGCGTCAGGTTGGAGGTGACCACAGGTTACAGGAGCGTCTCAGCTCCGCACCTCACGGAGGTAAACGCAGCAGACAAACTGCTCGGCGTTTTCTCTCTTAAGTCTAAGATTAGTCCTGGTTTAGTCCTGGTTTAGTCCTGGTTTAGTCCTGGTTTAGACCTGGTTTAGTCCTGGTTTAGTCCTGGTTTAGACCTGGTTTAGTCCTAGTTTAGTCCTGGTTTAGTCCTAGTTTAGTCCTGGTTTAGTCCTGGTTTAGTCCTGGTTCAGTCCTGGTTTAGTTCTGGTTTAGTTCTGGTTTAGACCTGGTTTAGTCCTGGTTTAGTTCTGGTTTAGACCTGGTTTAGTCCTGGTTTAGTTCTAGTTTAGTCCTGGTTTAGTCCTGGTTTAGTCCTAGTCCTTTAGCTCTGGTTTAGTCCTGGTTTAGACCTGGTTTAGTCCTAGTTTAGTCCTGGTTTAGTCCTAGTTTAGTCCTGGTTTAGTCCTGGTTTAGTCCTGGTTTAGTCCTGGTTTAGTCCTAGTTTAGTCCTGGTTTAGTCCTGGTTTAGTCCTGGTTTAGTCTGGTTTAGTCCTGGTTTAGTCCTGGTTTAGACCTGGTTTAGTCCTAGTTTAGTCCTGGTTTAGTCCTGGTTTAGTCCTGGTTTAGTCCTGGTTTAGTCCTGGTTTAGTCCTGGTTTAGTCCTGGTTTAGACCTGGTTTAGTCCTGGTTTAGTCCTGGTTTAGACCTGGTTTAGTCCTGGTTTAGTCTGGTTTAGTCTGGTTTAGTCCTGGTTTAGTTCTGGTTTAGTCCTGTTCCTGGTTTAGTCCTGGTTTTAGTCCTGGTTTACCTGGTTTAGTCTGGTTTAGTTCTGGTTTACTGTTTAGTCTGGTTTAGTCCTGGTTAGTCCTTTAGTCCTGGTTTAGTCTGGTTTAGTTCTGGTTTAGACCTGGTTTAGTCCTGGTTTAGTTCTGGTTTAGACCTGGTTTAGTCCTGGTTTAGGTTTAGTCCTGGTTTTAGTCCTTTTAGTCCTTTTTAGTCCTGTTTAGTCCTGGTTTAGTCCTGTTTAGTCCTGGTTTAGTCCTGGTTTAGTCCTGTTTAGTCCTGGTTTAGTCCTTTTTTTAGTCCTGGTTTAGTCCTGGTTCAGTCCTGGTTTAGTCCTGGTTTAGTCCTTTAGCTGGTTTTTTCCTGGTTTAGTCCTGGTTTTAGTCCTAGGTTTTAGTCCTGGTTTAGTCCTTTTTAGTCCCTGGTTTAGTCCTGGTTTAGTTCTGGTTTTAGTTTTTCCTGGTTTAGTCCTGTTTTAGTCCTGTTTTAGTCCTGTTTTAGTCCTAGTTGTTTAGTCCTGTCTTTGTTTAGTCCTGGTTTAGTCTGTTTTAGTCCTGGTTTAGTTCTGTTTAGTCTGTTTAGTCCTAGGTTTAGTTCCTGTTTTAGTTTTTAGTCCTGGTTTTAGTCCTGTTTTAGTCCTTTTTAGTCCTTTTAGTCCTGTTTTAGTCCTTGTTTTAGTCCTGTTTTAGTCCTGTTTTAGTCCTTGTTTTAGTCCTTGTTTTAGTCCTTGGTTTTAGTTTTTAGTCCGTTTTAGTCCTTGTTTTAGTCCTTTAGTTTTTAGTCCTGTTTTAGTCCTGTTTTAGTCCTTGTTTTAGTCCTTGTTTTAGTCCTGTTTTAGTTCTGTTTTAGTCCTTGTTTTAGTCCTGTTTTAGTCCTGTTTTTAGTCCTTTTAGTCTGTTTTAGTCTTGTTTTAGTCCTGTTTTAGTCCTGTTTTAGTCCTTGTTTTAGTCCTGTTTTAGTTGTTGTTTTAGTCCTTGTTTTAGTCCTTGTTTTAGTTCTGTTTTAGTCCTGTTTTAGTCCTGTTTTAGTCCTTGTTTTAGTCCTTGTTTTAGTCCTTGTTTTAGTCCTTGTTTTAGTCCTGTTTTAGTCCCTGTTTTAGTCCTGTTTTAGTTTTTAGTCTGTTTTAGTCCTTGTTTTAGTCCCTTGTTTTTAGTCCTTGTTTTAGTCCTGTTTTAGTCCTTGGTTTTAGTCCTGTTTTAGTCTGTTTTAGTCTTGTTTTAGTCCTGTTTTAGTTTTAGTCCTGTTTTAGTCCTTGTTTTAGTCCTGTTTTAGTCCTGTTTTAGTCCTGTTTTAGTCTGTTTTAGTCCTTTAGTCCTGTTTTAGTCCTTGTTTTAGTCCTTTTTAGTCCTGTTTTAGTCCTGTTTTAGTCCTGTTTTAGTTCCTGTTTTAGTCCTTGTTTTAGTCCTTGTTTTTAGTCCTTGTTTTAGTCCTGTTTTAGTCCTTGTTTTAGTCCTTGTTTTAGTCCCTTGTTTTAGTCCTTGTTTTAGTCTGTTTTAGTTTAGTCCTTGTTTTAGTCCTGTTTTAGTCCTTGTTTTAGTCCTTGTTTTTTTAGTTTTAGTCCTTGTTTTAGTCCTGTTTTAGTCCTTGTTTTAGTCCTTGTTTTAGTCCTGTTTTAGTCCTTGTTTTAGTCCTGTTTTAGTGTCCTTGTTTAGTCCTGTTTTAGTCCTTGTTTTACCTGTTTTAGTCCTGTTTTAGTCCTGTTTTAGTCCTGTTTTAGTCCGTTCCTGTTTTAGTCCTTGTTTTAGTCCTGTTTTAGTCCTGTTTTAGTCCTGTTTTAGTCCTGTTTTAGTCCTGTTTTAGTCCTGTTTTAGTCCTTGTTTTAGTCTTGTTTTAGTCCTGTTTTAGTCCTTGTTTTAGTCCTGTTTTAGTCCTGTTTTAGTCCTGTTTTTAGTCCTTGTTTTAGTCCTTGTTTTAGTCCTGTTTTAGTCCTGTTTTAGTCCTTGTTTTAGTCCTTGTTTTAGTCCTGTTTTAGTCCTTGTTTTAGTCCTTGTTTTAGTCCTGTTTTAGTCCTGTTTTAGTCCTTGTTTTAGTCCTTGTTTTAGTCCTGTTTTAGTCCTGTTTTAGTCCTTGTTTTAGTCCTTGTTTTAGTCCTGTTTTAGTCCTTGTTTTAGTCCTGTTTTAGTCCTTGTTTTAGTCCTTGTTTTAGTCCTTGTTTTAGTCCTGTTTTAGTCCTGTTTTAGTCCTTGTTTTAGTCCTTGTTTTAGTCCTTGTTTTAGTCCTTGTTTTAGTCTTGTTTTAGTCCTGTTTTAGTCCTGTTTTAGTCCTTGTTTTAGTCCTGTTTTAGTCCTGTTTTAGTCTTGTTTTAGTCCTCTGTTTAGTCCTGTTTTTAGTTTTAGTCCTGTTTTAGTGTTTTAGTCCTTTTTAGTCCTGTTTTAGTCCTGTTTTAGTCCTGTTTTAGTCCTTGTTTTAGTCCTTTTAGTCCTTTTTTAGTCCTGTTTTAGTCCTGTTTTAGTTTTGTTTTAGTCCTTGTTTTAGTCCTTGTTTTTAGTCCTGTTTTAGTCCTGTTTTAGTCCTTTTGTTTTAGTTTTAGTCTTGTTTAGTCTTGTTTTAGTCCTTGTTTTAGTCCTGTTTTAGACCTGTTTTAGACCTGGTTTAGTTCTGTTTTAGTCCTGTTTTAGTCTTGTTTTAGTCCTGTTTTAGTCCTTTTTAGTCCTTTTAGTCCTTGTTTTAGTCCTGTTTTAGTCCTGTTTTAGTCCTGTTTTAGTCCTGTTTTAGTCCTTGTTTTGTTTTAGTCCTGTTTTAGTCCTTGTTTTTTAGTCCTTGTTTTGTTTTAGTCTGTTTTAGTTCCTGTTTTAGTCCTTGTTTTAGTCCTGTTTTTAGTTTGTTTAGTCCTGTTTTAGTCCTGTTTTAGTCCTGTTTTAGTCCTGTTTTAGTCCTGTTTTAGTCCTGTTTTTTTAGTCCTGTTTTAGTCCTGTTTTGTTTTAGTCCTGTCCTTTTAGTCCTGTTTTAGTCCTGTTTTAGTCCTTTTAGTCCTGTTTTAGTCCTGTTTTAGTCCTGTTTTAGTCCTGTTTTAGTCCTTGTTTTAGTCCTTGTTTTAGTCCTGTTTTAGTCTGTTTTAGTCCTTTTTAGTCCTGTTTAGTCCTGTTTTAGTCCTTGTTTTAGTCCTGTTTTAGTCCTTGTTTTAGTCCTTGTTTAGTCCTTGTTTAGTCTGTTTAGTCTTGTTTTAGTCCTGTTTAGCCTGTTTTATCCTGTTTAGTCCTGTTTTAGTCTGTTTTAGTCCTGTTTTAGTCCTGTTTTAGTCCTTGTTTAGTCCTTGTTTTAGTCCTGTTTTAGTCCTGTTTTAGTCCTGTTTTAGTCCTTGTTTTAGTCCTTTTTAGTCCTGTTTTGTTTTGTCCTTTTTTAGTCCTTGTTTTAGTCCGTTTTAGTCCTGTTTTAGTCCTGTTTTAGTCTTGTTTTAGTTCCTGTTTTAGTCCTTTTTTAGTCCTTGTTTTAGTCCTGTTTTAGTCCTGTTTTAGTCCTGTTTTAGTCCTGTTTTAGTCCTGTTTTAGTCCTTGTTTTAGTCCTGTTTTAGTCCTGTTTTAGTCCTGTTTTAGTCCTTGTTTTAGTCCTTGTTTTAGTCCTTGTTTAGTCCTGTTTTAGTCCTGTTTTAGTCCTGTTTTAGTCCTTTTTTCCTGTTTTAGTCCTTTTTTAGTCCTTGTTTTAGTCCTTGTTTATCTTTTAGTCCTTTTTTAGTCCTGTTTTAGTCCTTTTAGTCCTGTTTAGTCCTGTTTTTAGTCCTTGTTTTAGTTTTAGTCCTGTTTTAGTCCTGTTTTAGTCCTGTTTTAGTCCTTGTTTTAGTCCTGTTTTAGTCCTGTTTTAGTCCTGTTTTAGTCCTTGTTTTAGTCCTTGTTTTAGTTCTGTTTTAGTCCTGTTTTAGTCCTGTTTTAGTCCTGTTTTAGGTTTAGTCCTTGTTTTAGTCCTGTTTTAGTCCTGTTTTAGTCCTGTTTTAGTCCTGTTTTAGTCCTGTTTTAGTCCTGTTTTAGTCCTGTTTTAGTCCTGTTTTAGTCCTTGTTTTAGTCCTGTTTTAGTCCTGTTTTAGTCCTGTTTTAGTTCTGTTTTAGTCCTGTTTTAGTCCTTGTTTTAGTCCTTGTTTTAGTCCTTGTTTTAGTCCTGTTTTAGTCCTGTTTTAGTCCTTGTTTTAGTCCTGTTTTAGTCCTTTTTAGTCCTTTTAGTCCTGGTTTAGTCCTGTTTTAGTCCTGTTTTGTTTTAGTCCTTTTAGTCCTTGTTTTAGTCCTGTTTTAGTCCTGTTTTAGTCCTGTTTTAGTCCTGTTTTAGTCCTTGTTTTAGTCCTGTTTTAGTCCTGTTTTAGTCCTGTTTTAGTCCTTTGTCCTGTTTTTAGTCCTTGTTTAGTCCTTTTAGTCCTGTTTTAGTCCTGTTTAGTCCTTGTTTAGTCCTGTTTTAGTCCTGTTTTAGTCCTGTTTTAGTCCTGTTTAGTCCTTGTTTTAGTCCTGTTTTAGTCCTGTTTTAGTCCTGTTTTAGTCCTGTTTTAGTCCTTGTTTAGTCCTGTTTTAGTCCTGTTTTAGTCCTGTTTTAGTCCTGTTTTAGTCCTTGTTTTAGTCCTGTTTTAGTCCTGTTTTAGTCCTGTTTTAGTCCTTGTTTTAGTCCTTGTTTTAGTCCTGTTTTAGTCCTGTTTTAGTCCTGTTTTAGTCCTGTTTTAGTCCTTGTTTTAGTCCTTGTTTTGTTTTAGTCCTGTTTTAGTCCTGTTTTAGTTTTAGTCCTGTTTTAGTCCTGTTTTAGTCCTGTTTTAGTCCTTGTTTTAGTTCTGTTTTAGTCCTTGTTTTAGTCCTGTTTTAGTCCTGTTTTAGTCCTTGTTTTAGTCCTGTTTTAGTCCTGTTTTAGTCCTGTTTTAGTCCTGTTTTAGTCCTGTTTTAGTCCTGTTTTAGTCCTTGTTTTAGTCCTGTTTTAGTCCTTGTTTAGTCCTGTTTTAGTCCTTGTTTTAGTCCTGTTTTAGTCCTTGTTTTAGTTCTGTTTTAGTCCTGTTTTAGTCCTTGTTTTAGTCCTTGTTTTAGTCCTGTTTTAGTCCTGTTTTAGTCCTGTTTTAGTCCTGTTTTAGTCCTTGTTTTAGTCCTGTTTTAGTCCTTGTTTTAGTCCTGTTTTAGTCCTTGTTTTAGTCCTGTTTTAGTCCTGTTTAGTCCTTGTTTTAGTCCTTGTTTAGTCCTGTTTTAGTCCTGTTTTAGTCCTGTTTTAGTCCTTGTTTTAGTCCTGTTTTAGTCCTGTTTTAGTCCTGTTTTAGTCCTGTTTTAGTCCTGTTTTAGTCCTGTTTTAGTCCTTGTTTTAGTCCTTTAGTCCTGTTTAGTCCTGTTTTAGTCCTTTTAGTCCTGTTTAGTCCTGTTTTAGTCCTGTTTTAGTCCTGTTTTAGTCCTGTTTTAGTCCTTTAGTCCTTTTAGTCCTTGTTTTAGTCTGTTTTAGTTCTGTTTTAGTCCTTGTTTAGTCCTGTTTTAGTCCTGTTTTAGTCCTGTTTTAGTCCTGTTTTAGTCCTTGTTTTAGTCCTTGTTTTAGTCTGTTTAGTCTGTTTTGTTTTAGTCCTGTTTTAGTCCTGTTTTAGTCCTGTTTTAGTCCTTGTTTTAGTCCTGTTTTAGTCCTTGTTTTAGTCCTGTTTTAGTCCTGTTTTAGTCCTGTTTTAGTCTTGTTTTAGTCCTGTTTTAGTCCTGTTTTAGTCCTGTTTTAGTCCTGTTTTAGTCCTTGTTTTAGTCCTGTTTTAGTCCTGTTTTAGTCCTGTTTTAGTCCTGTTTTAGTCCTTGTTTTAGTCCTGTTTTAGTCCTGTTTTAGTCCTCCTGTTTTAGTCCTGTTTTAGTCCTGTTTTAGTCCTGTTTTAGTCCTGTTTTAGTCCTTGTTTTAGTCCTGTTTTAGTCCTTGTTTTGTCCTGTTTTAGTCCTGTTTTAGTCCTGTTTTAGTCCTGTTTTAGTCCTTGTTTAGTCCTGTTTTAGTCCTTGTTTTAGTCCTGTTTTAGTCCTGTTTTAGTCCTTGTCCTTTTTTAGTCCTGTTTTAGTCCTGTTTTAGTCCTGTTTTAGTTCTGTTTTAGTCCTTGTTTTAGTCCTTGTTTTAGTCTTGTTTTAGTCCTGTTTTAGTCCTGTTTTAGTCCTGTTTTAGTCCTTGTTGAACCTGGTCTGGTCTCTTGCAGCTGCTGGTCTGCAGTGCCGGTCCTGTGGAGGTTCTTCGTGTTCTTCTCAGACGTCACAGATCTGCTCGTCGGGACAGAGCCAGTGTGTCTCCAGGACTTACGCCGGTAACTGCACCAGCCTCTCTTTTCTCATCACATCCTCTAAGTTTATCAGAGAATCTAAATACATTTGTCCACACTCGTATTTTTCACACGTTTACGCACTTTTCACGGAGACGACGCTCAGTTATCACAGTGAGTCATGTGTCCTCTGCTCTCGGCCAATCGTGCACCTGGTCTCCTCCGGGTCTTTGGTCTTGTTTTTTACACTTTGTCTGTAAAATAAAGTGCTGAGTCTCTGGTTTTGTCCTGTGACAGTCAGTAGGTCATGAACTCTGCAGCTGCACCCAAACCTGTTCCACCACAACGTCAGGACATGATGTAAGATCCCATAAGAACAGAACAGGAAATGAGTTCTTTCATAGCAGGAAGTACATTCCTTCAGCTGACATCATCAGTGAACAGGTTTTGATGATAAAGGTGAGAGCAGAGCGTCCACCTGCAGCCCAACAGAACCAGAGAAGAAGAAGAACAGAACCAGAGACTGAAGGAGCTCACTGCTCTCCTGTGATTTACAAAGAAAATCTCTCCCCTCAGATGAGTTTAGAGATGTTTTTACAGATGTTTTTACAGATGTTTTTACAGATGTTTTTACAGATGTTTTTACAGATGTTTTTACAGATGTTTTTACAGATGTTTCTCAACCACCTGTGATAATTATTTCTGATTTGAACAGATCATGTGTGTCCCTGACTAGTTAATCCACCTGTCAATCACACCCACCTGAAAACAAAGATTCACCAGTGACCAGACTCACCGTCTAAAGTGTTGGAGGATTGTGTGTCCTGGAGCCAGGGAAGGGATTTATCTCCTCCTCACTCTGTCACACTTCCACCTCAACATCAAGACTCTGAACAAATCAACAAAAACAGGGTTTAAGGACACATGTATTAAATAATACAGATCATCATAATACAGAAACTAACATCAAATCTGAATCACAAATATGTCTCACTTTGTTGAAGTGGCCAAAGAGGCGTGTGGGACTGAATGTGTTTTTTTCAGGTTGTGCTGCACCAGCACCTGCACTGCCCTCTTCAGGAGATTCTTATTTGTTCCTTTTGTGTCTTTAGGCTCCTACGATTATGGAGACTACAGTTACACCTACAACTACACCTATAAAGGCTGTGCTTCTGCTTCAGACTGTACAGCTGCAGGGTCTGAGTTTGTTTCATATAATTATGGCCCCAACACTTATGCTGTAAACACCACGTGCTGCGACACAGACAACTGCAACAACCAGAATCAGCCCAGTGAGTGATTCTCTCTTATCAGCTGATGTTCTGCACTTTGAAAATGTCTCATTTAACACACATTTGTTTCAGTTGTGGCGCCCCCTGTTGGCTCTCTGCAGTGTTACAGCTGTGATCCTTACTCTTATGAATGCACTGCCAATGTGACCTGTAACACCCAGGAGGTGTGTGGACAGGCTGTGGGTGAGTACCGTTCAAAAGATCCACTTCTACTGTGTTCTGACGTAGAGGAGGGACATTTACTGTTTTTATATAATATATATAATATGTATATGTAATACATAAAATGTGTATATAATATATGTATATAAACATATATATATATATAAAAGTGCTGTCAAAAAATATTGCGTCATTAATGAGTTATCACAAAGTCAAAGTGTTCATATTTTATTGCAAGATTCACGCTGTTTGTGACTTGGTGAACTCGTCTTTCAGAAGCTGTAGCTGCTGTGACATTGGAAAAGCTTCGTGTCATAATCAGGTGACCCTGGATGGTTTGGACACAGGCACATGGAAACTGCAACTGAAAAAAAATGTGCAATCAATTAATTTGCAATTGACTGCGAGTTAACTATGAAATTCATGAGATTAATCGCAATTAAATATTTTAATTGACTGATACCACTAATATATCGATCTACATCTATCGATTGATTGATAGATGTAGATCGATATAAATGTCATTTTCATGCACCAGTTCACCAAAATACAACAGGACAAGAGAGACCATCATCATCATGAATGTTGAACTTTCCTGGAGGCCAAAACTCCACCTAAAAACAGACTTTGTCCAATGTTGTGGGCGGTGACCAGGGCTCCTTCCATTCAGCCATGAGTTAGTATAGATCCTGTGGAGATTTATTGATCAGTAAATCAGTCTTTTATCTTAGCTGTTCTTCCCGAGTTTAACAAATTCATTGCCAAAGTTTGCAGTTTGGAACCCTGCGCCTCGCCCCTCACAACATAATATGAGTTGAGTCACTAAACACTCAAGCACAGTCTCCTCAGGCAGGTGCATTGTTTTACTGGAAGAATCAGGACTCCTCTCCAAGTTCACCTCTCCAAGTTCACAAACTTCTTGCTCTTACACAACCTCCCCCGATTCAGCCCGACCTCTGACCTTTCATTACAGTTGACCAGTATAAACCCATCCCGTCCATTTTACGGCTGTGTGTCTCTGAGAATCTGTGCAACAACATCACCCTGTCACGACGATATTTTGGCTTCAGTACCTCAGTGTCCTGCTGCAACACTTCCCACTGCAACGTCCCAGGTTAGTCCTTTTTCAGTCCTGGTTCAGTCCTGGTTCAGTCCTGGTTCAGTCCTGGTTCAGTCCTGGTCTAACCTGTGTCTCTTTCAGATCTGGGGTTACAGTGTTTGACGTGCACAGACTCGTCATGTTCTTCTCAGCGCTCGGTGACCTGCTCCAAACTCGCCCCCTTCTGTTACACTGATGCCTACGCAGGTACAGTACTGTCCTCTGATTGGTCACTGCATGTCTGAGCCTCTCTCTGATTGGTTGGTACAGGTCTGTGTAGTGGGCGGGTCTGGCTCTGGTCCACAGTCCAGACCTGGTTCTTGGAGAAGTCTCTCCAGGAGCCTCATTTATAAATCTGGTTTACGTACAGATCCTTGAGTCGTCGCTCTCTACATCAACCGCGGGATTTATGAAACTCGACTAAGTTGTGGCTCTTTGTTTAACTCTACACCAACTCAGGACCTCCTGTAAACTCTACACAAAGTCTGGAGACACGGGGAAAAAGCGACACTCGTGGAGAGAAGCAGAAGTGAACAGAGTTTGAGGAAGAGTTTGATCAGAAAATCCACGTATATAAAAGAATGACCTTCAGATTTGTGCATTTAAGTGTTTGGTTCAACAAAACACAGAGAAGGGCTGTTTATTCCACTCATTATTCTCTAAAATATTAAACATTTAAACTCGTGCACGAGCGCGGCCACGATCCTGATGCAGCTCAGGATCAACCACAGTCCACACCAAGACCACAGACTTTATAAAACACAGACTGACCAACACAGAGGACGAAATAATGACCCGACCTGAGACTAAACTCTTCCCTCGGACACAGAAGGAGCCAGACTTTTGTTTAATGAACAAAACTTTAACACTTTTACTTTAGTCTTTACGCACCGAGCGCCAGAGTGACCCTGAGTCTGTGACCCGAGTCTGTGACCCGAGTCTGTGACCCGAGTCTGCGACCTGCGACCGAGTCTGCGACCCGAGTCTATGACCAGAGTCTGTGCACGACACACAAAGCCCACTGACCGAACCTGAGCCCAACCTTAAATCTTCCCTACATTATTGTGAAATGGGAACTGAGCACATGACCCAGACACACACTCACAGACCCGACTACTCACGGACCCGCACTCACGGACCCGCACACACGGACCCGCACACACGGACCCGGCACTCACGGACCCGCACTCACGACCCGCACACACGGCACCCGCACTCACGGACCCGCACTCACGGACCCGCACTCACGGACCCGCACTCACGGACCCGCACTCACGGACCCGCACACACGGACCCGCACACACGGACCCGCACTCACGGACCCGCACTCACGGACCCGCACTCACGGACCCGCACTCACGGACCCGCACTCACGGACCCTCACTCACGGACCCACACTCACAGACCCACACACACAGACCCACACTCACAGACCCGCGCTCACACTCACAGAGGTCAGAGGTCAGACACACACTCACAGGTTCAGCAGTTTGGATGTTTCGTTTGGACTTTCATTGGCAGAATAACATCTGTATCTGATGTGTTTCATGTTAAATCTGTGTCCTCGTGTCCTTCCCTCGCTCCTTTCCCTCTCCAGGGGAGGGCATCTGAATCTCTTGCACGCGCTCATAATTTGACCATTCAGATCAGCAAGTGCATGTGTCTATGTGTAATTATATATATATATATACAGGGCCAGTCCACACACACATCATAGACAGACTTAAAAATATAAAAATAAAACTCTTGAAACAGCGAGAAACACACTGACTTTACTGCAAAGATGTGCTGCCGTAATATGATGAAATATGATTAAATGAACAGATGAGTCGTTGTCACTTGTAGTTTTGTATTTATTTATTAAACTTGTTTAAGTGTTTGTCGTGATCACGTGATGCTGCGTGGAGCCTCCTCCTCCTCTGTCCCGCGTGTCTGATTATCGACTCATGTTTAGGGAAATCTCATTCACCAGTCACTTTACCTGCTCCTTTTATGGTGAGGTGGAGGTGTGAGGGGGCGTGGTCTGTCCTTTTATGGTGAGGTGGAGGTGTGGAGGGGGCGTGGTCAGGTGGATCGATAAATCACAGAATTGCAGGTTTAGTGTGTGCAGTTGGTTTTCTAAATATGGAGCTCGTGGCTCACACCTCTCGTGGTTACAAGGCGGACGCACAAACGTACAACAACTCCTGCACCGTTTTTTTATTAATGAGGCCCAGATCTGACCTGTTTCTGTTCTGGTTTCAGGTTCTTACAGTTATGGAAGCTACAACTACAGCTACAGTTGGATCGATAAAGGCTGTGCTCCTCCCTCAATCTGTACAGCTGCAGGATCTGAGTTTGTTTCTTATGATGCTGGCTCCAGGTCTTACCTCAGAAACAAAACATGCTGCGACACAGACGACTGCAACGCTCCAAACCCGACCTGTGAGTGCTGCTCTTCATTTTAAACATATCGATTGATTTTTCTCAAAGGTTCAACTGCTCCTCTGTGTTTCAGCGCCCCCTGATGGCTCTCTGCAGTGCTACAGCTGTAATTCAGACTCTGATAGTTGCAACTCTATTGTGACCTGTAACACCCAGGAGATCTGCTCCCAGACCATGAGTGGGGAACATCACCAAGAACTTTGTTTCAGATGCTTCACTTGACATTTTCTAACATGTTTCTCTTTCCAGTCAGAGACTCGTACTCCGTCCGTCGGCCTTTTTACGGCTGCGTCTCTGAGAATCTGTGCTCCAACTCCACTTTGTCTCAGCAGATTTTGGGCTCCAGCCAACCCCTGTCCTGCTGCAACATCTCGTACTGCAACACTCCAGGTCTGTGTCTGAAACTCTATCTGTGTGTGTGTTTGTATGTGTGTGTGTATCTGACATCAGTCTCTCTCTCTCACAGTTCGCAGACTTCAGTGTATGAGCGGCTCCGACTATGAGCAGTATTCAGTTCACTGCCCCTTTCAAATTACTGCGTGTTTCTCCACGTCCTACACAGGTACAAGACTTCCTCTGATTGGCTCACAGTGCATGTGTGTGTCTCTGATTGGCTCACAGTGCATGTGTGTGTCTCTGATTGTTCATGTCTGTGGTTTTCTCTCAACTCCACTTAAATAAAGTTTTAGTTTTGGTCTTGTTCTGCTCTTGTGATGCTTCCACCTCAACATCAAGACTCTGAACAAATCAACAAAAACAGGGTTTAAGGACACATGTATTAAATAATACAGATCATGATAATACAGAAACTAACATCAAATCTGAATCACAAATATGTCTCACTTTGTTGAAGTGGCCAAAGAGGCGTGTGGGACTGAATGTGTTTTTTTCAGGTTGTGCTGCACCAGCACCTGCACTGCCCTCTTCAGGAGATTCTTATTTGTTCCTTTTGTGTCTTTAGGCTCCTACGATTATGGAGACTACAGTTACACCTACAACTACACCTATAAAGGCTGTGCTTCTGCTTCAGACTGTACAGCTGCAGGGTCTGAGTTTGTTTCATATAATTATGGCCCCAACACTTATGCTGTAAACACCACGTGCTGCGACACAGACAACTGCAACAACCAGAATCAGCCCAGTGAGTGATTCTCTCTTATCAGCTGATGTTCTGCACTTTGAAAATGTCTCATTTAACACACATTTGTTTCAGTTGTGGTGCCCCCTGTTGGCTCTCTGCAGTGTTACAGCTGTGATCCTTACTCTTATGAATGCACTGCCAATGTGACCTGTAACACCCAGGAGGTGTGTGCACAGGCTGTGGGTGAGTACAGTTCAAAAGATCCACTTCTACTGTGTTCTGACGTAGAGGAGGGACATTTACCCCCAATTTACACCAAAGCAGTAACAGCGTAAGTGCAGCAGCACAGCACACGCGCAGCAAACACACAGGCATCGCTTTCCATTTTAAGCGGTCGGACAGTGTACAGCAGCAGTGTCATTCACACGTCCAGTAACCATCATTACGCTACACGCCGCTCAAATGAAGTTGGAGTTCTGATTTTTCAGCATCAGAGCGTCTCCAGACTTTTATCAGGGACAAGACAGGAAATAAACATTTGGTGCCAAAATAAAGCAGACGACCAAAGTGAAATGATGAGTAGCTTCATAAATGCGAGTGCCGCAGATACGACTTGCTGCATCGTGTCTCTTGTTCTCAATGTTTATTATCTCTCCTCTCAAACCAATTCTTTCCTCTGGATCAGATCTGGACCTCATTGTTCTCAAAAGAGCGACCCGAGGCTTTTAGGTGGAGATGAACAGCAGACTGAGGTCCTTTTAGGTGGAGATGAACAGCAGACTGAGGTCCTGTGTTGGTTCTTGTGAAATGTCTGTTTAGTTTCTCCAGTGCGGCGCTCACTTCAGTCTTCACTACACTGAATGGAGGAGATCACATTGTTTTGTTTGTGGCTCGGTGTTTTGTCCTTTGGACCAGTTTCTGTTTTAAAGTGTTTGTAGGTTTGAAGTTCACTGGGATTTCATGTTGTTTGAAAATCCTCAGTAGTTTTTCAGAAACACAAGCCATGTAAGGAGTAGTTACCCCCTTTCTCCTGGGTTCTGATTCTCTGTTGTCTTGTTTTTTAGCTCTTTGTTTCATTCAAAGTCCATTTAGGATCTGCACAAACACAGAGGGCTTCATGCACATGTTCTGCTTCTTTGTCCTTTCCCTCTGTGCTTGTAGGCACCACTTGAGCCCTGTGTTGTAGTGGCCGAATAACTCCAAGTTTGTGTTACAGTGGGTGGTGAGAATCCAAAAGCAGGTACTGGTCCGTGTGTGGGCTTCCTGCCAGTCCTCGGCTGACCACACCTACAGGAAGCAGTGATATACGAACGTCACCACCAACACCAGTGACAGTTCTGAAGATGCAGCAGCTGAAACATGTCAACAAAATACACTTTACTGCATTGTCTTTAAAAAGAACCCAAGAAGTTAAAGTTTATAAGAAGACAAAATGAACATCATGGGTTTATAATCATAAATGTGTTCGATAAATAAAGTGGATTAAATTGAATGGAGGTCAGTGGTTTTGTTGTGAGTCAGTAGGTCATGAACTGTTCCACACAACAAACCTGTTCCTCCACAGTCGGGACGTTACACAACATTTCATTTGTGCTTTTAATTGTGCGTTTGTTGTGTTTTGTTTAATTGTGTTTCTCTTGTGTACAGGCTGGTTTATGCTCAGCGCTGACGCCCTGACGCAGACCTGATCCGTACCAGCGTCTGTGGAGCTCATCAGGGCCCAGGTGCATCATGGGAATACAGACGATTTTATTTGCATTCATCATTTAGCACCGTAAGGGTCCTATTGGCTCTCGTGGTCTGGGAGGTCTGTCTCGTGGGTCTGGGAGTCTGTGATTGGCTCTCGTGGGTCTGGGGTCTGGAGGTCTGGTGATTGGCTCTCGTGGGTCTGGGAGCTCTGTGATTGGCTCTCGTGGGTCTGGGAGCTCTGTGATTGGCTCTCGTGGGTCTGGGAGCTCTGTGATTGGCTCTCGTGGGTCTGGGAGCTCTGTGATTGGCTCTCGTGGGAGCTGTGTGGCACATTTGTGTAGATTTGGCGTTGGATCCTAAACTGGTGACAGTCAGACGGTCATAAAATGTTCTGGTGCACACCCAGAGACCACACCTGTTCCTCAGGACACAGTCGTGACAAGAAATGAGCCGATTCTTGCCAGAGTCACATTCCTTCAGGTGACACAATCACTGAACATAATAATAATCCAGGGTTCAGTGCAGTCGTGTTTAATAAAAGCATCCACCTGCCGCCCAACTCACCAACCACACAGCCCAGGTATAAAGAGGAGCAGAGCCAGAGAAGAGTCAGAAGAGCCGACAGGAGCAGACAGGAGCAGACAGGAGCAGGATGATGAAGACGTCTGTGAAGCTCTTGACTCTGGTGGCTCTGTTCATCTGTGTCCACTCAGGTATTTGTAGGATTTAAATTTGGATTTAGACACATTTAAGTCAAGTTAC